CTAGATGGTAAACATGGAAACCTCCCATTATTGTGAACAGCCCACCACCAGAACAGGAGTCTTTTTTTTTTTTTTTCTTGAGGGATTGAGTGCTTTGCCTCCCCATTTCCTCACTGCCATCTCACAATATCTGGGTTGGGGTTCAGGTGCCCAAGAATAAGATTCACACCAGTGACAGAGGCATTAGCTATGACCTCAGAGGGTGGCTCCTTCCACATTCAGGAAACAGACCTATATGGCTGTCCCCCAGAACATTTGAGAAGAGTAGCAGGAGAAGGGAGGTGAAAGTGTGGGAATGGAGATGGCAAAGATGACATCCAGAGGGCCGGAGAGAGATGGCAGGTAGGCATGGGCTGTCGGTGTCATTGGAGATGTTATTAAGAGCATTTATGAGGCAGCATTCATGTCTGGAGTCCCATCTGACTGGCATCAATAAACATCTCTGTTTCATTCTGGAAGGAAAGCCTTAATTAGGCATGAAGAGATTTATCAAGCAGCAGCCTCTTGGAGCCATTGGTTTCTCTGCCATCTGGGTGGATGGTTTCTCACCCTGCAACAACAGCAGTGGGAATGATGAATGAGGTCCCACAGCTCAACCCTCCGGGGTCTGAGAAAACCCAAATGGTGTCTGTCCTTCCCAGAAACAGTGAAAATCTGCCCAAGATGATGGGCACGTGTGCTGGAGTTCATACTAAGGTTCACCCTAGGAAGATGCAATAGTGACCTAGGGCAGCCAAACCCACATCTAGCTAAAGTCAATTTTTAGCTTTGCAGCAACTGCTCCAATCACATGGATTTATAGAAAAAAAACCCTAGAGTGAAGGTAGAACTTGGGTGAAAATTCCATGCAGGCCCTTGCCTCAGTTTAATGACCTATTTATTCTGCTTGGGTCCAACCCACGTGACTTTTTTGGAAGGTTTCTTGTGACATGATAGATGCAAAATGGCTTTCTTCACTATAAAGGCCTCTGTAGACAACCAGGATTTAATTCAACAAACATTTATTGAGCAACTGTTATGTGCTATGCACCACGCCTAGTGCTGTGATGGATACAGATGAATAAAACAGTGCCTGCCCCTGGCAAGCTTACAGTCTAGGAACAGACATAGGACAAGTGCACAAGTAGCTATAATACAAGGCAGAATGTGGTAAGTGCCATGAGACAGGTACAAATAAAGTGCTGCGGTGGTTCCGTGGAGGGAGAGATCCCAGCATTGGTGGATCATGGAGGGCTTCGTGGAGGATGTGGTCTCTGCATGGGCCTTGGAAGAACTCAAGAGTGATCCAGAAGATGAGGACTGTAATGCCAAAGGCACAGAGCCAGGAAACATGGCACCTTTTCCAGTAATGACAACTCTTCTGGATTGGCCAGTGCAGGGTATGAAAGGACCTGATTGGGTGCTCTGTAATGGTAGGATAAAGATGGGCACATTTTTGTGGGCTGGGGGATCTTATCAAGGATTTTGAAGAACTGGAGGTACAGAGCATTGTGCGTGCTCAGAGAGGTCTGGGAGAGGACACCACTATGAAGGGGTCTGAGGGACAAATAGAGGTGAGGTGGGGACTAGTTTGAAAGATTGATGAGGGAATGCATGTAAGAGCCAGTGGTCATAGGGTCCCAGACTATGATGAGAGAACCATTGGTGTTCCAATGGGAAGACAAGGGACCATGCAGGGAAGACAGAAGGTCTGCTTAGCTTCAGATGTGTTGAGTTCAAGGTGTCAGGGCAGATAGAGTATGTGTAACACGTAGCATGCCATCCTGGGGCATCCAGTGGAGCTAAGCAGCTAAGGGGAGTGGAAGGCATTCTTTGGGTGGTGGTAGCTAGGTCTGAAGGAAAGCATGGAGCTGTTGATACACTATGCAAGGGCTTGTGGGGAGGGTCTGATTGGAAGGAATGGCTACTTTGTGGTACAGGGAGAGGAGAGAGAAAAATGGGCAGATCTTCCTTGGCTCCCTTCAGCTCAAGGTTCGAGTGCCAATAAATACTCATAAATACATAAATAAATATATAAATAAATGGTCATGGAGGTTGGGATGACAGGGGTAAAATCTTAAGAACAGAGTAGTTTGCCCAGGAGAATTCACCTTAGAGCTTTGTAGTGAGGGAGGCCTTTTGAGTGAGCACATGGAGGGCACTGAGATGCTGGTCCCGGTAGTGGGCTAGGAGGGGACACTAAGGTGTGGTCAGGGGGATTGGTGGCAATAGGAACTGGAGACCTTGCCAAGGACTAGTAGTGGAGGAATTAAGTGAAGAGGCTATAGAAATCAGGGTGAATGCAAGAGGGCCAGTAAAGAGACTGAGGGTATGAGAGGAAAAACTCCCTGGCCAGAGGAGGGAGGGACCTCACTCCCTTAGAAATGGGAGAATGAAGGTTAAGTGGGAGGCAGAGGGCAAGAGATTTTGAAGAAAGGTCTCATATAAAATGCCTAGGTTTTTTTTTTTTGTGTGTGTGTGTGTGAAGGCAGAGGCTAAGAGTGGAGTCACTGGGGCTCAAAGTAAATGGAGGTCTGGCTGGCTTAGGTGGGTGGACTGAGGAGGTGACTGATAGTCAGAAGTAGAGGGGACTGACTGAGGCAGATGGGGTACTATGATTGATTGTAGTGGCAGAAATCAGGTTAAGAGTGCAAGCTGTGCCTTCTGGGGCCCAGCCAAGGTCAACCAGCCTATGTTAAAGACTTCAGTGGAACCCAGCCCCAAGTGAGTTCTCAGCAGGCAAGTAGTCCTGGGATTGCTGACTTTTCCCTATCAGGTTACAGCCTGCTTAAGTCTAGTTAGACAACTGCCCCCCTAACTCCTCTGCAGGAGAGGATGCTGGGTGGAGCTTAGGGTTACCCCCAGAACCTGACCTCTGGGCTGTCTTCATGATTCCACATGGGATGTTCTGACATCCAAGGGCTTTGCTAATGTAAGGCCCTGCTGGTGATTTTTACCTATCCCTCCAGGGCACTGCAAACTTTAGAAATTAAATGTCTTCTGGAGCCTTTGAGATCCTTATGATGAAAGGCTCTGGAGACGTGTAAAATATGGTACTAATTATTTCCACCGTTCATGAGGAGGCTGAACCACTCAGTTCCCAGGGAGGCTGTTAGGGCTGTTGCTTTTTTAAATATTCATTTTATGATGCAAATCCCAAACCACATGCTTCATACTGCAACGAGAAAGAAAAGAGAAACACGGAGATGTATAAACCTCATCCTGGTTTGGGGTTGGAGGGACTGTACACGGGGTTAATGTACTCTAGGGTGTCCCTCCATCTCTCTGCTCATTTCCTGTCAGCCATTAATTTAGAGCAAATGTTGTGTTCTGAATGGCTGTTGATTAATTACGTCAGACCTCATGCGCTTGGGAGCAGATCTTGATTACATTTCTTAACTCTCTTCACCTTCAAGATAATAGTTTTTTTTCTTATCTTTCAAATATGTTTTAAAAATCCATTATTTGTCAGGTGAAAGACTGCATCTAACAAATCAAGCTGGATGAGGGTTTGCTGTGGGTGACCTCTAAGTCCAACCCCTAAATTATTGGCAGTGAGCCCAGATTTCCCCAGGAGATTATGTCCAGTGTTCAGAACTGTATTTGGCTTTGGGCTTTGACAAGAAAAACAAACCTTAAGTGTGAATCTTAATAGAGGGGGGAAAGGATTTTGCAAAATCTCTGCAGTCATTGCTTGCGTGGGGGGGGCAAGGGTGGGCAGGTGTGCAGAGTGGACATTGGAACCTCTCCCAGAAGAGTTGAAAATCTCCATGGTGGAGCTTGGTGTGGGTAGGTATGACTGTCAAGATGGGAAAGTGACAAGAAGGTGACATTGACACAGTGGTCTGGCTGCAGGGGACCCTCAGAGTGCAGGATGCAGAAAGCAAACAGAGAGTGACTATAGAGACCAGAGCCACGTGCGTCAGTCTTCCAGGTGTCCAGACCTGGGACTCTGTGTGGTGCCTAGAAAGGCAATGGGATATGTTTTGAACAGGATGATGCCTATTGTGACTGTGACCTTCCAAGCATTTGCTGTGTCTTTCTGGTGGTAGACAGGACAGTAGAATTCCCTCATGTGACATTCTTAGAGGATGGGATGAAGGCTAACCTGGAAGTTGAAGTCCCAGGATTGCTTCTTCCTCAGTTGCTTTAGAGCACACCCAACAAAATGACCATATTTTGGACACTCTTTTTGTCCTTTTCTGAGGCAAAGCAAACCCCTGGAAAGTCTCAAGTTTCTAAAACCATGGTTTAGAACACTCTGCCTCTTTAGGACCATCTGCTGCTCCACCCTACTAAGTCCTGGGTGGTCCTTGTGTAGTCAGAATATGGAGCTGTCCATTGAGTTTTCTCCAGCCTCTATCCATCTCCAGCCTCTATCCATACCTGGAAAGGACTGTCTAGGACACAGGTGCTACCCATGCTTGTACTTTGGGCAGTTGCACTTTCAAGTTCATGAACAAGGCCCTCAGCTCTGTTGTGACTGCTGTTTGGTCTCCTTGTGCCTCTTTGCCCAGCGGAACTCTCCAAGTCTCTCCTCCATGAACTGCACCTCTTTAGACAGGTTCAAACTGTCCTTTCTGGGTCTGGGCTACCCAGAATCCATATCACTCAGAGGTTCGGGGAAGCTGACAACAGGTGGCTCTCCATTCATCCATGAGCCCAGAGATCCATCCAACCCAGGAGGTGGGTTGTCATCCAAAGTCATGGGACTGGCTTCTTTGCATGTCAAGTCCTTCTGCCCCCAAAGATGGACTGAGTCTCCATCTGGTCCAGGTGGGTTCTCCACACCTTCTTCCTGTGGCTTATCTGCCTAATGCTAGATGAACACCACACAGTTATAAATACTCAGGTCAATATATATATGCAGGTATAGATATATATATTCTGGTCACTGTTTTACACTTTAACAAAGAAAACCACTAGCCTGCTTGTTCTATTGTTTGTGCCACCCCGACTCCCATCTGCCTGTGGTGTAGCTGGCAGGAAAGTGAGCCACTGAGTCCCATGGGCTGCCATCCTTACGTAGCCCCATCACACTGGCCAACAGTCAGTTTCAATGCTCCCTGCTCATGCAGGCTCTTGAGGGCCTTGAATTCCAAGGGCATGGTGTGGGGGCTGGCCTGGGAAGTGTAGCCGTATTTGAGGCTGTCATAATAGTGGTATTTGACAGGGTTCTGATTCTGATCCAGTGGAAAGGGCCAGAAGCCATAGAGGTAGATCTGATTGCAGAAACGTGTGGCTAGGGTATACATCAAGAGGCCAGTAGTTGGTCTTTTTATGTGGACTTTGTTGGTCAGCCAATATCTGGATAAGAAAAAAAAAAAAGAAGTTAAAAAAGAAACAGTAAAATCTGGAAAGATGGCTCATTTGGTAAAATGCCTGCCTTGCAAGCATGGGAACCTGTTTGGATTCCTCAACACCATGTGAAGGCCAGGCATGGTGGAGTGTGTCTGTAACCAATTGTGCAGAGGCAAATGCATGCTTGCACACACTCATTCACAAATGCACAAATGTGCACTCACACATGCATCCACTAACAATATACGTTATAAACAAGCACATACAGAAACAATGAAGAAATGTGTTTGCAGATACTTTCCAAGAAGAAAGAAATTCTATTCTGCCCAGCCGTCTACTACCTGCCACACCAGGAACCAGTCACAGAACCCAGGCTTTCTCTCAGAAGATTGACAACTGCCGCTGATTACACATCTGGACTACACCTTGAGTTGGTGCTTTCCTGTATGTGAGTCTGTAAGGTCTGGGGCACCAAGATAAAACCTGGCACCCAAAGGTCACCCAATGGGAAGGGGCGGTACCTTGTCTTGAACATAGACCCATTAACAACTGAAGCAGGGTTAGCAGTTTGTTTTGTAATGGGCTGGGTGATAAATACTTTTGGATTTGCAATCATATGGCCTCAATTATGACTATGCAAACACACTGTAGTTAAGGCACGAAAAAGCCACCAACAACATGCATGGATGTGTCCAGGCTTGGCACTGACCCCTCTGAAAGCATGCTAGTTTCCCTAGTACCTACTGACTTACAGACAGTTCCATTAGTCTACTCCACTTAAGCATGTTGTATAGGTAGACCTCTTTCTTATCAATGTTCCCAGAAACCCCACCCTCTGAGGCAGCTGATCTTCCCTGACAATGTGACCATGTGTGTAACTTCTCTACAAAATCAAGGGGCTCTGGGCTGAGATTCTGGATTCCGTCTATACAGTTCTTCCAAAGATCTGTCACTTGGTCTTATTATCCATCTTGAGTAGGGTAGTCAGTGTTTCCTGCCTTTGGGACTCTGTCAAACAGTGATGGGAGAAACCATGGAGAAGTGTGGAGAGCAGGGTGTAAGATGAGGGCATCCTAGGTGAGTGGGGTACTGTGTGTCTCTGTGTACCTGAGCCAGAACCAGAGCAAGGAAGGGGCCATCTGCACTCTGGATGAGGAATCATGCCTGAAGGATGGAGGTATGTAAACCAGATGATTCTGTTGTTAGCTATCTGTGTCTTGAGAAAGTCACTTCTCTCTGATGGACCTCATTTTTCATACTGATGTATGTACAGTACAGATACCTGCAGGTTTCAACATTCCAAGAGAATCTAGACGATTCTCTACAAGCGAGAACCCTTCTGCTTTATGGATCTAGAATTCACTCTGAGTGGCCCCTACCTCTTTATTTGTAGTGAAGGCTCTGCTTGTCCCTGTCTGAATGGCTTTAATAGTCAGGCTTCTGTTCCATTGCAGAGGCAGAATTGTTGACCACTGGGCTGGCCCAATGTGTCTCTAAACCAGACCCAGACCCAGACCATGATTTTCTGTCTTTAAACAAAAACCTCCATGGGACTGGATCCTACAGGCTCCCACTTGCCACTCTCCCATGGAAGGGAAGGCCAGTGCTGTTTCTGATGGCCCCGCAGCACAGCTATGCTTATGACTTCATCCTCAAATGAGCCAACTAAATTCATGCTAAGTGGAAGGACACCAGACCAAGGCATTTACTTATTGTTGAAGGGTAAGACTGTTTTTTTTTTTTTTTGGTGGGTGTGTGTGTGTGGGGGGGGGTGGTGATTTTAGCTGGTGGGGAGGGGTGAGGGGAAGGCTTCCTAGAAGCCCAAGAAACCCCCTTACCCACAATGGCTCCTTCTTGCAGCTCAAATAAGGAAACCAAAAGATTCCAGAGTCAACCCTGGAGGACTTCCTTGCTTCTTTGTTTGGATGAAGCCTTAACTTCTGGATCAGATGAAGTCACAGATGCCTAAAAACCCATGTAATTACAGTAAAGCAAGTCATATTGCAAGGTTTGATCAAATAAAAGGTATTTTGAGGACCCCCCCCCACAATCAACCCCACCAACAGCACTATCTGTCTGGTATGATCTGAATGTCACTTTGGACCTTTAGATAGGAGGCTATGGGCCCAGATGGTCACAACCAGGCCTATGATTCTCCTGGGCACAGCAGGATCGGGGTGGTCCTTTGGACAGCCATGGTTGTTCTGTGAGTCTGTCACTTGGAGACCCTCTTCCTTGTGCCTCTCCCTATTTCATTCTGACTGAACCTAGAAAATTCCTGGCAACTGTATTTTCTAACAGGGATTCAGATGGAGTGACAAAGAGAACTGTGCAGTGGCTCTGGTAACTGCAGCCACAACACAATTGAAAAACAGCGTGGAGCAAGTCTGTGGACACAATGCAGACTAGTTCTTTCTTCTCCATACTGCTGAAGTTCCTACTGTGATGGTCCATGGTCGACCATTGTCCTCCAGCTCCCCCTCAAAGCCTCCTGGGCATCTCTCAGAAACTTCTCCCTGTTCCTCATGCCATCCAAATTCCACAGTGGATGCTCTGAAAGACCTTCCCTGGTTATGCTTCCGGCTTCACCTTTCCCTCATTGCAATAGCCTTCCCAGTATGAATGGCCACAGCTGTCCTCCAAGGCCCTAGGCTATCTCATAGTGTGTCCCCATTAAGATTCTGTTGCCCTTTTGTTCTGGTCTCGGGGCTGTACATGAGGTCACCCGTGTAATGATTTCTTTCCCAGGTTGCTGAAGTCTCATGGAACTGCAGTGCACATGTGTGCCTTTCTGTTATACTCTGGTTTCTTGGTCAGTCATCTGGGCTCTTAGTGGGTCATATGGCTTGCCACCTCTGTGCTGGGGAGCCAGGACTGTGAAGAAATGGATTATCACTCAGGAGGAGGGAGGGCTGATTTCAGAATGGGGGGGCTGTGTTTAGTCTTTCCTCCCCTTATACTGAGATTCCAAGGAGCTATGCTTACTTTCTGTAGGCTAGGTAGGGGCAAGGATTGGGGTGCCTCTGGTCTAAAAGAAAATATACTGAGAATGTGAGGAGCAGCCTATGTATCCAGGGTCCAGCATGGGTTAATTGATGTCCCTAAGTGACTAGAAACTTCTTTCCTCTGGTCACAGGGAGGCCTGGGTAGATTGAACACAGGAGCACCATGCCTGCCTTTTGTGTCTACTCTGCTCCCCACAATACAAATGGGCCTGGAACTCTAAGGTGCGTGGGTGTGTGTGTGTGTGTCCTCCCTAGTCTTCCTGAGCAGGAGAAGGGATGAACCAGGCTGGATTCACATAGGACCCACACTATGTTCTGAGTTGATGTGGCGGGTAACATCAGCCGGCCTTCCTGTAGATGAGAGAACTCCATGGAGGACCATGATGCTGGAGACCCTAAGTCAAGTGGGGACTTAATGCCACTGTTCCAAGAATCCACAGAATACCAGAATTACTTATTGCAGTGGCTTGGGTGTTTCTGAAAGGCTGTATTTAGTGGTTTCCTTCCAACTATCCCATGTTGCAATATTATTCTGAGCTCTTGAGAAAAATGTCATGCTTTGATAAGGGTCCATTTTGTGACCCTTATCCTGCCTCAACTATGATGACTGTTCTTGGTTGTCAACTTGACTACACTGGAATTAACTAAAACTCCCCAAATGGGGGCATATCTGTGAGGGATTTTTGCTTAATTCAAAGCAAAAAAGATCAACTTCTAATCTGGATCTTTGAGGTGAGAAGACACACCTTTAATATGGATCTTTGAGGTGGGAAGACAGACCTTGAATACAGACCTTTTGAAGTGGGAAGACAAACCTCCAATCTGGGTCATGCCTTTTCTGGAAATATGTATGTATGTGTGTGTGTATGTATGTATGTATGTGTGTATGTGTGTATGTGTGTATGTGTGTATGTGTGTATGTGTGTATGTGTAAGAAGGACATTTTTTACTCTTTGCTGAGATATCCAGCCTTGTGAACTGAACAGCTACTAGATTTTTGGATCTTCCATTCACAGTCATTATTGGATTGCCTGAACCACAGCCTGTAAGTCATTCTAATAACAAATCTCTCTCCCACTGTATCTAAACTGAGGGCTTGTCCTGACTTCAGTAGCTCTCTGAGTACCCTACCCCTCACTCAGGGTTTCACATAGTGGCCATACCACAGACTGAAGCACTAGATAGGTCTAAGGAGTAGGCAAGATCTTACTTGGTGAGGGTTGAACTGGGACTCCCCTTGTTAGGTCCTCTGATCCAATATCCATGTTCTTTGTCCTTTGTGGTCTAGACCTAACAGTGCATGGGTGGCCAGGAAGGTGGATGGTGCTAGCATGTGGGTCTGCTCATGGGGCTATCTATTTATTCACCAGCTAACAGGAAAGTATGCACACTGATGGCCTGGCGATGCTTGATGCTGAGGTTGGGGTTCCTTGGCCACCATGGCACTCTCTGTGCTCAACAGAGCTATGAGATGGACTTGGGAGGGCCTTGGAGAACCAAGGCTGGGAGACTGTAAAGAGACAACTCCCAATGGGATTGCAAATGGGTATTAAGGGACTTTTGGTAGTAAGAAAAGTATTTAAAGTGGGATTGTGCTGCTGAATTCACAACGGTATGTTTACTCATCAAACTGTAGTCACAGTATGTAAATTAGTAGGCATTGATTATACTTCAATAAAGGGTTTTTGTTATTGTTACTGTGATTCTGTTTTGCTTTTTTTTTTTCTTGAAGATGACTCTCAGAAGGACAGCCAATGATGGCAGATCCTTCCACACATCCTGGGAAATGTTCATCTACCTCAACTGACACACATCCAATAGTGGGCAGCTTGCCCTTTGCTAAGCTGGCCAATTACATTTCAACCCTAATGCAAAATTTCCTAATTTAGTTGCCCACTGCAAGACCAGGAGCTTTAGGAGCCCAGTAGCCTGCACACTGGGATTCCTATAATGTTCTCCACTAACTCCTGCTCTGACTAGGAGGTGGATCTATAGAAAGAG